TTAAATCTTTTTTTCTTTTTCAAAAAAAAAAACAGAATTGAACTATCAAAGAGGCTTAGAGAATTAAATAATGCCTAAGCTGATCATAATACTGAATTAAGAGATACAAATAAAATGGTTTGACTTTTTGGTAATACTGTAAGCTTAGGTATGTGTATAAATCACTTATTAATCGTAATATGTATGTATACATAGTATAATACTGTACGAAACTCTATTCGGAATAGTCGATTTTTTAGTTATTTTTGATAAAACCAAAAAAAAATAATAAGTGTTGTCCTGGTGATTGACTGTGTTAGTTTGTGAAAATTACAAAAAAAAAAAAGAAAGAACTATTATCGTTTTGTGTGAATACAATCAAGTTCATTCTAATAATGTACGCATCAATCAATATAAGCGAGTATTTCCATAGCCATAATATATATGTGTGTGTGTGTGTACTAGTGATACTTGTTATTTGAATGCATTCATTATAACATAAATGTGTTAATTATGATGTGGTTTCAATTTCTTTTTTGGTTAACAATCAACATTAGTTATCATGACAATGTAATAATAACATGTAAGTGCATTGTCTGTCTAGCCATACTATATCCTATTTGATAATCTCCCCAATGTGATCAACTGTTATCAAATGGTGACAATTTGATTTTTTTTTTTCGGATATGATTTTATTTTATTAGCACTTTTGTTTTTTTTTAAAAAAAACAATTGTTTTCTAACATTTTATTTAATCATTTTTATAATTTATTTCTTTATTTTACAAGATTATTTTAACGATCGAGGCTGAGATTATCCACACGAGAATTTGAACTGTTAAGGAAAAAAGTGACAAATGATATTTTCATTTGAATTATTTTAATAAGCTTTTACAAATTATCTTTTTAAAATTATTCAGTATTTGTGACCGTTTGCAAAAGATGTTAGACAGTTTATAAATAATTAGAGATTTTCGAAACCATGAATCGATCAATGTTAGACCACCATTAGAAACCTGGAAGCACTGGACGGCCGCTTCGTCCTGGTATGGGACTCTTCAGCAGTGCGCATCCACGACTCCTGCACCCCACAAGATTCGAACCCGGGACCTTCGGTATTGTGAGCAAACGCCCAACCACTGGACCACTGAGCCGGTATCTAACGGTGTTAATGTCTAACTTGATCAATTCACGGAGTTGCGCAACCTCATACAGTCTTCGGTAGTTACTATATACACCCAAACAGGTTGAACTTCACTGGTCACGTCTTCCCACTAGAACTCGGAGAAGATTCCTCACGAAGCTAGTCACTAGTGAGCACAGGTAATTTTCACTATTTATTCAGACTATATATATATATATATATATATATATGCATGTGGGCACTAACTCAAGTGAATTGACCTTTCGATATGCATAATGATGAGTGATTACAGTAATATGGTGATAAGCCCTAATTCAAGTATTACATCATTGAATACTAACGAACGTTGTTAATAATACACTCCTTAGAAATTCAAAATTCACTTAGCAGTTCAGTCAACGATGCTACAAATAAGCTATCCAAGTAACAATAAACTCCTACACTGTAAATTTGATTTTACACATCAATTGGTCCTATTCTTATTCTATAGTATAAAGGTAAGAAAATATCCAATAAATAAAAAAGTGTAACTACTGAATGAGAACTATATTTGACGAAAGAACTGGAGAAAACTAAATAAAATGGTATGCTAATGGGTACGTACGGATTTCTGTAGGTAGCAACAAAATACAAAACTCATGTTTCACTCAAAATCGAGCACATAAACCAGTACGTGACACATCAGTCATATTATTATTTTTATTATAATTAAGGAATAAAACAAATGTGTCCCAAGGAAAACACAATACGAAACTCGTCACTAGTTATTTACAGTTAAACCAATCTATCAATTGTGTGCTTCTAATGTTATGACTTTTCAACAAATAAGACATCATATGTCAACAACTAGAGAATAAGAGCGATGATATTATTGTATAAAGCCAGTTAATAATACTTTATGATTGAAAAGAGATCAGCGCTGTTTCTATTTTCAGTCAACATACTAACTCACGTACTAAAATGGAAGAGCATTCATTTGATGAGTCAATGAAAAGACAAAACGTCGCTTTAATATTTTCACTACTTTTGTACTAGTGTGATGTATACTACTCATAACGCAGAGTAGCGTCACCTAGAAGTTGCTGAGGAGAAGAAAATGTATCGGAGTCGGAGATATGGTACAAACAGCGTTTTGAAGACTAGAAGACATGCGAAAAAAGACAATAAATAACCCGCTTGTTTTACAAATGGAAGTATGAAGATACGGTGTTCACATTTTGCTACTGAACTGTATCTTTGAATAAATCACTTATACCATCTGGTCTTAATGTCTCCGTTCATTATACTACTACCACCACCACCACTCAAAAAGCTCTGATAAATCTACACTGAATATTGATTAATTTAAGAAATACAGAAAAAAGAGCGAAATAAATAAATCTAGTAAAAACTATTCAATAAATTTTATATAATGTCAAGAATGAGAATAGATTTGTGAACGTCTCGGGAGTTGGTAGTGACCGTTGAAAATAACGTCTTTTATATACTTAGTGTTCAACATTTGTGAGACAAATAAATCTATCATCAAACACATACTTGAAGCTAACAATATTCACACACTTACTAGTCAGTTCCAATTTAATCTTTAATTACAATATATTGTAAATATTCAAAAAAAAACCATGGAAAAGAGAAGAAGATAGGAAATAATCACTCAAGTCAACAACAACAACAACAAAAACCCAGGAACCATATAAATTGTGATTTAATAAAAAGGGGACGCAAATAAAATGAAATACTCATCATCGTAGAAAAGAAAAATGTGGACGGCGTAGGTAAAATTTAATTCAGCACATTTCAATAATATCTAACATCCAATTCATGCCTCATTAAATCTAGGATAGTCCAGTTAAAACTACTCTTAAACTTAAATTTAAAATCAATTAACACTAGACATGTATGTTAAGATAAATTTCTATGAGTTTCTTCAGTTAAAAAAATATACCACATTAGAAGTTAGAATGAGTAAATACACACAATCGTTTATGGTTTAAGGAGTTCAATGGTTTCAGTAATAAACATTTTATTAATCAAGTAAAGATATAAACCTTTCAGAAGTTATTTCAATTTGAAAATCCAGCATCACTTAACTATTTATACCATTATGGCTCAAAGCATAATGTACTGATCAGATCAACCACCAGTGAACATGACAAAGTAGCTAACACTGAAACATCATTTAATAACAGCAATTAATAAACCCATCCTTAATTAATTCCTTCTAACTGTTCATTGATCACAACTGAGGTGTATAATAAATAAACAAATTCTAATAGAAATATGAAATGTATTGATGTTTTAAATGATTTATTTGGTACGCATCATAGAAGTGATGTATTCCATTTACGAAATTCGCGACCAGAGTCTTCCTGCTATTGTAGTGCGGTAATTTGGATCAACGCACCCAATTGCCAGGCTTTAAGTTGATTATGAGTGAAAAAGTGCCCTTTAATGTTAAACAATGCAAAAAATAAATCGGTTAGTCCGACCACAAACCAGAATTCTTAAAAGATCAACACCACTCCAAACATATTATTTGTATATTCAAGTAATTTTATTCACTACTGAAAAGACTGATAACTCTTTGGGAAGGATATTTATGTTATTAATGATCAATAAGTAATTTGTTTTTTTAAAAAAAATTCAAACTAGACAACACATCTGAGAAAATGATCATTTCAGATCAAATACAGAATTCAATTAGCAACCCTATTCATTTAGTATACACAATGAATTGTCACAAACAGTTTTAGTTGTATAACAAACAAGCTTTAAACCGTTCCAGATTTCCTATTCACATTTTAAAATGATATTGATTGTAACATACATGTGTTTAGACATCTTAACATTTATACCTGATAAGTATCATAGCACTTCACATAAAATTCTAAACCCTTTTAGATTAAATCTCCATTCATCATCATCATCCAGTTATTTAATATAAATAACCGATCGAATAAGTGATACTATTGTTTTGTCAACAATTAGAAGTATTGAACAAACATTATAATTAAAAAATAAGCGTCAGTCAGATGCAACGTAGAACTTTGTACATAAGTACATCAGTTCATGTTGCCATACCACATCAGCACAGAGAAGTAATCGTCAATTCAAATCCAATAGTAGAAGAGTTAGTAAGGGAATTAGAAGTAATCGGAGAGGTTAGGATTAAAAGATACTATTCAAGAAGTATGATTCAGTGAGAAAAGTTTAGAGAGTCGAAACTAGAGGGGTTGAAGAATCCAGAAGATTAGGATTTGAGAGAACACAAAGAATGAATGCACCGGCGCCATTGAGAACGATTTTGAGCCATGTCATTCAAGGTCTCTAACCATCGATTATTATCATCTCGCGGACCCCAACCAGGTAGTCGACAATTACCGACATGGCTAAGTCCACTCGTCAATGACTTCATGGATTTCTGCCATGTTTTGGTTTGGCCGCCTCTAGCTTTCTTCCAACCTATTCCTACACTACAAAACAAAGCTCGACGAGGCAGTCGGTGGTTGGGCATACGCAACACATGTCCCAACCACCTCAACTGGTGAAGTTTCAATACTTCATCGATTGATCTGCCATTCTTACCTAGCACCCGATTACTAATAACAACGTTGCTCACTCGAGTGTCCCACGATATACGAGCAATGCTTCGAAGACACCTATGATCGAAAACCAGTAACCTACGAATATCTTCTACTCTCACTGGTCATGTTTCACAGCCATAAAGTAAGACGGAGCGAACCAATGCGCAGTACACTCGTCCTTTAGTCAGCAAACGGATATCTCGCCTACGCCATAAGTGACGCAAATTGGCAAAAGCCAATCGAGCCTTAAAAAAAAATAAGCATAAAAATTAATGTGATATATAGTACACTTACTTGGAAGAATTGATTGATAACGATTTTTATGACAAATTCCAGGTATAGGCAATTCTTTTTTATCAGCATGATTCATAGGAATATCCCAAAATTCTTGAAATAATACTGTAGGATTGTCACGTAGTTTAATTTTCAATTGATTATATGTTAATGGTAAGCTAGCATTGATCAATTGTTCTAAATCTCGATTACGTTGACATGTTAAATTACCCAAGGAACAAGGAAAACCAGTGTCGTCTACTTTACAATGATGTATAGCAAAATGATGAAAATGATGTCGATGATGATGATGGTGATGATGATGGTGATGGTGGTGATGATGATGAAAACACATATAATTACATCGATTATTCATGAGATATTGTCCTTTTTTCATTAATCCAATTTGATTATCTGGAATTGAATTGTTACAGTGAGAATTAACACTGTCAGTATTGCATGTACTAGAAGATGAAGAAGTTGTTAATGATGAAATGATGGTTGTTGTGAAATTTTGTTGTTGTTGTTGTTGATTTTGTTTTGATATAATTGTAGGATGTGAAAAGTAAGTTACTGATTGTAAATAATTATCCCGAGAATTTACTTGTTTATCATTATGTGAATTGTTTGAATGATTATTTATATTAACTGAATCAGTACTATTACCTGATTCATTTTTTTCTGATAATACTTCATTTGTGCATGGATCTTCATCAAGACTACCACCAAATACACTAAACTGAGTTGATCCTACAGAATAACTAGGAGTAGGAGAATCATTTGACGGAGATAAAGATAATGTAAGTGATGTACGTGATCCTCTACGGCTGAATAAAAACAAATCATGATAAATAACATTTAGACTAAGTAATTGTGTAGTAAATCATACAATGTTTTTACTATAAAATGATAAAGCAAAATTACTAGTTACATGTTCTTATCAATAACAACACTAAAAAAGTAAATAAGAATTTGGTATTGACTGGAAAAAAGATCATGTTGTTGAGAAGTTCCTACACTTTCATACTAAGACTTGAATCTAACACTTTTAATTATTTAAGAAAAAGTGTGGATAAAAAAGACTAAAAATTTGCTAAAAATTAAAATAATTCATCAAAACAATACAACTTTATTTGATTTTCAATACAAGAATCTATCAGCAAATAAGTGTGTTCGGTTATATACCGTAAGAGCAGAAAATTCAAACGAAGATACACTGAAATGAATATATTGAAAATACTTCCGGAAAAACATAAATACAGTTAAAACAGAATGTAAGCTCTCGAATACGCTGATATAATCAACACTGAGAAGAATCTACCCTCTCTCGAAATTCTCACATAACGCCATGTAGATATAACCAACTTCAAGGAAGTCCTAATCACTACTATCTCAAGATGAGAGTGTTGTTTACAAAACTGAGATAACGAAAAGCGAATGTCCGGCACCTAAACTGAATTAATGGGTATGGAGGATCCACTTAGAGGAGTAAAAAACCCTGATACTAAGCTAATGGTGAACCTGCTTTAGTCTGGGAACCCAGGTAGTATACTAACCCATATACACACACTTAATGATGAATACAATTGGAAAAACGCTCTTGCTTTAATCCTGGTTCTCGAGAATTCAGTCAGCCAGTCAGCTACAAAGTAGAACTTCGTACGTAGGTAGATCAGTTCTAGTTGCGGTACCATGATAGCATGAATTACACAAGCAACATCCGTTTTTATTTTACATCGCGTCACTTACCTATACCCATTTATTCCCACTTTGTGTATTCACTTACTCGCAAGATCAAACAGTAGCTTGTCTATGGTAGAAATTCTGTACCATCTAAAGAATCTCAAGTCGTTAACTAGGCGAAAGTTAAATGCTATCATCGAGTACGAATTCCGAACCAGTCTTTCTGAAACCACGTGTGGAAATCAAACTGACCTCCAACGTTCAGATACGAATGCAGATATAGGATCCGCTGTCTTTACAAGGTATGAACATCGACGTCCGTTGTCTATTTGCAACTTCTACTGAAGCCTCTATGAGAGTACACAAATTTGCTGTCAGATTAAAAAGCTCCGACAATGTGAGAAAACGTTATGAGAAACAACATATTTTCGTCATACTCACTCACGCTGAGACAGATTGCATTCCATTTGCAATCAAGGATTGATTCTACCTCCAGTTGAATGATCTTATCAAGCAAACGCATCCGACAAATATTGTAGTGCCAGCCAGAGATTTGAATGCGCAGATCGAGTGTCTAGGCACAGAGGACAGCCGTCCAGGTGGACAATGAACTCAATATCACCACTACTTTTCTGGAAACAAGCAGTGGTGGTGTGGAGATGCAGATGGCATTGTCTCACTCTACAATGATACTCAAGCTATACAACAATCACTCAGTCAGTGTCCATAGGTAAGGCACTTGCTTTGCACATTCTAAGTCCACAGTACTGTCACAGGACTGGCAACACCTTATGTCTCCACTCACTATCGGTAGTGAGCAATTAAGAGTGGCCGAAAATTTAGTTTATCTGTGTAGTTGTGTAAGTACTGATGGCGATAGGAGTGATAAGATCAATTCACATTTGTAAAAGCCAGAGAGGCTTATGCCAATTTGCACCATCTTTGGCGTCCTCTGGATGTCAGTCTCGCTACAAAACGTCGGATCTACAAAGCGTCAGTTAAAGCAGTTCCGCTCCATGCTCTCCAAACTCAAGCTATCTAATCTAAGTCGAAGAAACTATGGGATCCTTTGTGTTTGATTATCATCGTCTCCAAAGGATTACTGACATCCAGCGGCAACATCACGTTAGTAATGGAGAGGTTCGGCAACGTGTGTTCCGGCACAGTGACGAAAATTCAGTCACTATAACCATCTTAAAACACTAATTTCAGTGGCTTGGACATGAACTACTGATGGTGTCCTAACGAATTTTTACGTCAAGTGTTATTTACCAACGCTGTGATTGGTTGCAAGAAGCCAAGAAGTGGTAAGTCCATTACATGGTGTCATGATATGAGGGAAAGTTATACAAGACACATCTGCTGGACCTTCAAGACTCACTGGCTGGTGTTTTAGGGATGGTGTAACGCAGTGGCTTGTGACGTTATTAAACATGGCTTGAAGTATGAGCTAGTGGTGGTCCTGCTGTCGTGTTTTCACTTTCTTCATATATAAGTGAGAGGAACTCTTTTAACTGAGATCTTTTCTCGCTGTATTTTTTTAACCGGACTATTTCTACCATTATTATTATTATTATCATTATTGTCAGTCGCACATACTGATATCTCCTCATTTTTTCGTTTTTTTCCATATTCACCTCCTTATCCCTAGGTCTTTACAATCTTCTTTTCATTATGTGGTGCCCCTTTGTACCAATGTTTATGCATCTGAATAGATAGACAAAATTTAATCTACTGACTTGAATGAATCTAAGTAAAGCCCAATGAAACTATCTTAAACACATAACCCGGTATTAATAAGAAGTTTAGGAAAACGTTACATGATATCTCAAAAGATTGGAAACATGAAATCATGGACTGATCACTGTTAGTCCATCATTAGAATACAAAAAGCACTTCTACTAGGAAGAAACAGTTGTTCAGTGCTTACAGATTTCTAATGTTCTAATATTGATCGATCCATGGCTTCAGTGAAACTCAACAATCTCTGCAACCCTATGATGACAATATGAAATGTGACGTTAATGAAACAAATATGCTAATGGAAGGTAGTTTCATGAAATGAAACGATCTTCGTAGGCTAATTTACAGTCAAATATATATTAAACATAGACTAACTAACGTCATTAGCACATAAATATTTCTAATTTATGGAACATAAAGGAAAATCATGTATCTGACCGAATTAAACATGGTACTCAAAGTAGATAGCACAATTAATGACCTTAAGATGACCTGTTTAGACTCTGAATAATATTTGTGAAGAGTGACTAAAGTTAGCAAAATCTAGGAATTCTGAAGTTATTCAGTCAGTCAGCTGAAACGTAGAACTTTGTACGTACGTACATCAGTTCAAGTTGCCATATCACATTAGCACATGGAGATCGAATTGTCAACTGAAATCCTCTAGTAGTATCGGCAGTTCAAGTATTATCGGTAGTCAAAAAGATTAATAACAGAAGATATGCGAGAAGTATATCCCAAAGAAATAAATTTGAGAAACAAAGAAAAGAAAGTAGTCATAAGGAATTCAGGAAATTAAAATTTGAGAGAACACAAAGAATCATCACACCTGCGCCATTGCAAGCGATTTTGAACTATATCTCTCAAAGTCTCTAACCATTGGTTACTATCATCTCGCGGACCCCAACCAGATAGTCTACACTTACTAACACGACTCAGTCCACTTGTCAGTGACTTCACGGATTTGTGCCATATTTTGGTTTGAATGCCCCTAGCTTTCTTCCAGCCTACCTACCTCTACACCAAGCACCATCGCTCACCGAAACAGTCAGAATTCCAGAAATTCTGAAAGTATATTTACAGTGAAAATGGAACTAACGTTCAAGAACATGTGACAAAATATTTTAGATTCTACAAAGAAATGCTATAAAAAGCTTGATAAGAGATTTAGGCAGTTGTATAGTATCACTAGTACTCAAACAAAGGGTGCAGGTCAAATCAGAGCATAAAACATGTAGTTGAGTGTGCGAAAAAAGACTTAACATTCAAGATATGGTTCGAATATAAAGCATACATGAAGGAAGGAACACTAAAAGTGAAGATCTAGTAGAAGGTAAGGGGTAAATTAAACTAAACCACAACAATTGATATCGTATGATGTCAAATTACTTCTTCAACCAATGATCACGCCTATTGCTTGGACCTTACAACCAAGTAGTCTCTTGCTAACAACATGGTTAAGTCCAACAGTCAGCACCTTCATGGACCAATATAGTGTTTTAGCTTTCCCTAACTCGCGCTTCATCCAGCATTGTTCGTCGACGTAGACGGTGGCCGAGCATGTATAACACATGTCTCAGACACCTCGATCGTCGAAGATTTACAGCCTCATCAACAAATATGGTATTCTACAAAGTGACTACCATAGTAACATATTTTGAGTAAACATATAACCCGGTTGATTTTTAACCATACAAAAGTAGTTTCAATGTTTTTAAAAGTGTAACTGAGTAGGTTTTATATTTCTAACCACATTACCTAGGAATGAAAGAACAAAAAAACCTGATTTCCTAAATTAAAGTAGGAGGAATAAAGTCTATCACTTTGATTAAATTAAAAAAATTTTATCAGTATGAGGGTTGTGGAGATTATTGAGTTTCATTGAAATCATGAAGCCATTAATCTTAGATCACCATTGAAAACCTAAAAGCACTGGACAGTTGTTTCGTCCTAGCATGATATTTATCAGCATAGCGCATCTATGACTCCGCTAGTGGGAATCGAACCCAAGACCTTCGGTCTCATGCACGAACACTTAACCTCTAGACCAGTGCCTAATTCGACTGAACTCCACTAGTCACAGCTTCTTACTAGAACTCCGAGAACTCCCTCTCAGAGCTAGTTACTAGTGAGCATATGATAATTTTCATTATGAGAAAGTATTATTTTATTCAATAAGAATAATAACGACAACAAAATATATTTACCTCTCTAAAAGACCTTTGGATCTTGTCCGACGACTTGCAGTGAATCCAATACCTGGACAGGTTTTCGGAACTTGTGTACTACCAGTACAACTAGTAGTGTTAGTATATGATGATTGGTTTAATTCCTGAGTAGTTGTACCGGAAGTTGGACAAGCTGCATGACTATAGGGTGAGTTCAATAAAGGTAGAGGCTGTGTTGTGACTGAAGTTTGACTCCAAGGTGCAGATTGTGATTCGCACGGTGTACAGTGAGAACGGAAAACATCAGCTGATGTATTTAATATTAATGGACTATGTAAAAGTTGTGTTGGAGTAACTGTGAATGTACCCAAACTATTATTCTGTAACATAAGTGAACTAGGCATCGCTTTACATGCCTGGTTGAATACATAATCTTTAGGTTGAATATGATACGATTGGGTTTCAACTGGTGGACTGGTCGCCATGGACGAAGAAGTGAGTAAACGTGGAGGTGTCTGATGTCGACGATTAGCAATTGATGGAGAAAGTGATACAGAACATGTTTTTGTAACAGATTCCAAATTTTTCGATTCTTGAATTGAATCAACAATACTGTTTAATGAATTTGAACCACATTGTTCATTAGGCGGATTTAACTGAGCAGTATCGTCAGGAATTTTTTTATGAAAACGAAGTATTGGGCAACAATCTGCAGAAATGCCGCAAAATTTTAAAATTTCAAACAGTGAAGTTTTACCACTTGCAAGACTATCTAAATTTTCACTATTAGTTAATGAAGCATGATCTTTTTGTTTTGTGGAAGTAGATTTATCTACAGGTATTTTTTCTACATCCACTGTAATTTCAGACTCCTTTTGTTCAGAAAGATTATGACATTGTTTTTGATAAATACACCAGAGTACCTGTGTAGAAACCAAACAAATAGTGGAAGTTGAGGCTAACTAGTGATATTATAGATAAGCATATAATTCAAACGATAATCATGAAATCAATGGTCATTTATATAAAATACAATCAAATGCAATCTGAACTTTTTATACCAGCTTTTAAATCATATCATTATATGTTCAAATAACCCCAAAGATAATTGATTTTAAAATAAACCGAGTATAGTTTACTTGAGTATTTTATGCTCAACCTATAGGTTTATCAAACATAGATATTCATAGACTCAGTTACGGATTAAATTCTATGAAACAGTAATAGTCATATTTTAGTGAATTAATAATAGTTACACATTTGAAATCATGAATCGATCAATGTTAGACCACTATTAGAAACCTGGAAGCACTGAACGGTCGTTTCGTCCTGGTATGGGACTCGTCAGCAGTGCGCACCTACGACTCCTGCACCCCGCAGGATTCGAACCCGGGACCTTCGGTCTTGCGCGCGAACGCCTAAGCACTGGACCACTGAGCCGGTATTTAATCTTGTACACAAGGTGAAATGCAATCTGCGAAAAATCTACCATCAAAAATTCAGATTAAAATCATATGTATTATTAATTCATACAGTCAACTCAGATTTAACTGTAAATAATTTACACAATTGGAATTCAAGTATGTATATGTTGAGAATCTGAATTTACTCACAAAGCCCCAAAACACCTTGGTACAATCAACACTGAGAAGAATCTACCCTCTCTCGAAATTCTCACATAACGTCATGTAGATATAACCAACTGCAACGAAGTCCTAATCACTAATATCTCAAGATGAGATTGTTGTTTACAAAACTGAGATAACGAAAAGCGAATTTCCGACACCTAAAATGAATTAATGGGTATGGAGGATCCACTTAGAGGAGTTAGAGAACCCTGATTCTAGTCCAACAGTCCACATGAACTCCAGGATCCTGAGAGAGAACATGAAACCATTGTCGGTCATCAGCTACCATGGAATTACGTCTTATAACGTTGCTCCACTGCATTGTAGATTAGACTTCTAGGTTAAACGCTCAGACAGTGACTCTAAGAAAACCACTTGCTTCAGTCTGGAAAGCCAGGCAGTAATACTAGCATACATTCAGGTACCTTTTTGTACCAACGTTTATGTGTTTCAATAAAGCAGATAAACATGAAGAAGATGGAGAGATAATAATTATTGAGTTTATGACAAAATGATGAAAGGGGTAAAAATATTGTAATAAAAAAAAGAAGCAATTAAATACATTACAAAAACCTATGATAGGAAAGATGGTTATAGGAAGAATATAAATGAAATGAGCAATAACTAAAATGAGGTCAAATTTATCAAAATGAAAATACATACACTTAATAACCTTACGTGAATATATAGTCTGGAAATGAACAAAACTAATGAAAATTATGACCACATCACCACTAATTTCGATATTTACTTTTTCTAGAATTTTCTCATTTAATTGTATATATATCTTTATGGTGAATAATTGTGAGGGCTTTTTTAGTTAGTACTGCTTTGAAGAAAATGAAATTCCTGATAGGATTTTTCCTATTAGATAATGAAGTTCTGACTGAAGAAATTTTTCGAAATCACGTTAAACTAAACCACAAATACTTCAGTTCTCTAACCCCATTCCCAAACCTCTTTTTTACGGGCTTGAGATAGGCACTAACCCTACAAGGACTCCAGATGGGGTTCGTCTTATAACCAACCACACGTTTCTTCTTTATACCCCAACCGCAGGCCCTACCTTGACATGGTGGTCGGGTTCGTCTATCGTGATAACCAAAACCGAGCTATATTGGTTGGCGAAGACGCTCCTTTGAGTCCTACCATGTCAGACAGATCGGTTGGGGAACGGTAAGACTTAAAGCGGCAACTTGAGCCCTGAAAGCGAAGTCGTACTACTGGCGGTTAAGAGGTGAGACAGCAGTAAGGTGACTCTCCCGGAAAACCGGCAGCTGCAACGACGCCGCCTTCCGAAAACGGAAGGAACGGGCAAGAACCATTCGGCCCTAAAAATGTTACACCTCACCTTAGCTCACGGATTTCCGTAGTAAGGCCATTCGAAAAATGGAGCTAACACTTTAAAAACTTTCAATAAAAAAGCCGCAGAGAACCGGCCTTATGCAGTTGTCCCTCGGGCTCTGTAGTCACGCTTCCAGGTTGCTAAGACCAACGCTAATCGCAATTCGTTTTCAGGTTTCTCAAGAAGAATTAGCTTTCCATGATGCGTGCAGCCGGCTAGTGACATCCGCAATCATATCACTAACAGTACATGAAATCAACTTGTTCATAATCGAATATTTTCCTCACCTTTGGATAACTCTCTAATCTCCATGACTAACTTTTCCTTCATCCTTCTATCAGCTCGGGCCGCTGATGCACACGATTTGAGTACACGAAATGTTATTCAAAGTCCCTTGAAACCCCCCTTCTAAACTACATATTTGAGCTTTTAATATACGGACCTATGTCGCGGCTTACAGAACAGACAATTACAACCGTCCTTCGCAATTATGCTCCGATAATCGTTTATTTCTAGTAAATACTAACTTTAAGCATAAAGAAAAACATCCCTTGACCTGGTGACCCCAAAAATCGACTCAACATTGGACCCAACTAAACCACATTGCTATCAGCAACCGATGGAGAGGCTACATAGAAAACTGTCGCTCATTTTGGAGCACGTGTTTATAATCAGATCATGCTCTAATACGAGCGCGTATTTTTCTCCGTCTTACTGAAGGTAAGAAAGACACACCAACGAAACCCCTTAGAGTTCTACTCAACGATAGAAAAAAACCAACAGTATATTTCAGGAAAAATAGTGAGCCAGTCATGTAAATAATGCCCACCCCGAGGCAGCTTGGAATTATATCCGAAAAGCTGTGGAAACAGCAGTGATATCCACTGGTAAGTTAAAACAAAAGACTAGAGAAAAAATAAGTGGATTTCAGTAGCATCTACCGAACTAATAGATGGTTGGAAACTCATTTCGTCTGGTTTTGAACACGATGAGGAGCAGAGAAAGCTTAAACCCAGGCTGATAAGAAGCCGACGAAATGATCGTGTACAGCAGTGGGTAGAGAAAGCACGAGCGATGGAAAAGGCAGCAGCGATAATTATGTAACTATTCAGACCTATCAAGGGAACCGGAATGAGGAATCCGACTGTTAGTGAGACTATCTCGGAAGAGGACGAGACTACTATTCATTCGCAATCCAGGACATTGGATCGATGGGCAGAACACCCCAGGGATGAGTTTAACTGGGCTAAGCTACACTTCTGTTACCTATGATCCCCAGTCTACCTGAATGGCAAGTTGATATAAGTCCTCCGACTCTTAAACAGGTTGAGGAGCTATGGGCAATCTAAAGCAAGGAAGTGCAGCAGGACCTGATAGATCAACCCCTGACATTTTCAGGGATGCTGGTCCAGTTTTAGCGGTTAAATTGACTGAGATTCTAGGTAGAATATAGGAACAGAGAGTAATCCCAACTGATTGGTCTCAATCACTGATCGTCCTGATATACAAAAAGGTACAAAAGACTTTTTGTAACAATCACATAGGAATCAGTTTAACTAATAAAGCGTCTAAAACACTAGCTTCAATAATACTTCGACGCCTAACAAAAACTCGTGGAGTAGACTCGATAAAACGGGGCTGGATTTAGATCTGGAAGCGGCTACTTCGGACATTCACATTTCGGCATGTCCTTAAACACAGATATACATTCAGACTATCGTCTCTCGGACCCCAACCAGGTAGTCTACACTCAGCAACATGACTCAGTACACTTTGCAGTGACTTCATGGGTTTTTGACATATTTTGATCTGGCCTTCTCTAGCTTTTTACCAACCTACCCCTACACCCCAAAACATAGCTCGACGGGGCAGTCGGTGGTCGGGCATACGCAACACATGTCCCAAACATCTCAACTGACGAAGATTCAATACTTCGTCGATTGATTTGCCATTCTTACCTAGTAATTGTTTACTAATAACAGCACTGCTTACTCGATGGTCACAGTATACTTGAGCAAGGTTTCGAAGACACCTTTGACCGAATACTAGCACCCTACGAATATTCTCTATTCTTAGTGACCGTGTTTCACACCCGTATAGTAAGACGGAGCGAACTGCTGCACAGTGAACTTGCCCTTTGTTTAGTGAACGGATATGTGGCCTACACCAGAAGTGACGCAAGTTGGCAAAAGCCGGACGAGCCTTCTGTATCTGAGCCAAGATTTCGTCAGACACCAGGCCATCAGGACTGATGTGACTCGAAACATAAGTGAAGCGGTGAACACGCTCAACTACTTCACTCTCTGTCTTTAGTTTAGGTGCTGATGTAGGCCAATCCTAAAACGACATTTTGCATTTTGAAGGGTTGAATCACATCCTGAACATGCTTGCATTGTTGCTTAGGGTGATCAGCTTTGAATAATACCTTCGAACCCTAATCTTTTCGAATACCGCTAACTTTACTACTGCCTCTATCACTGTGGCAACCTAAACTGATGTACGTTAGTACAAAGTTCTACTCCGTCGCTGACTGATTGACTGACTTATTTTATAATTCGTGAAACTTCGGTTTTAAAATTAATAACTTAATTTGCTACATCGCAGCATCGAATCGACCGATGTATAACAGAAATATACTAAATGAGTCCTTGAGGAAGTTTCACGGTAAATTTTACGCATAAATGAATAAACTATACCGAATTCCTAGCACGCCACACGATTTTGATTTAACTTACTACAATAATATCAATATGATGTGAGTAGACATCTTTACGTTCGATAAGAGAAGAAACAGTTGTTTTCTCGTATTTAAAAGTTCCTAAATTACATATATCACAAATTAACTATCTGGATGGTAAAATCATAATTAATTAGTGTCTTAGTGAAACATCGGATTTTGTAGGTTCTTATAAAGACCAGAAAGACCAACTAAACACCAATGACGACTGAAGTTCATCAATAAAATTGAAGAATATATTTTTAAAAAATCCATCGGACGGTAGATAATCGAAAATTCCGAATTTTGGATTTTGATTAAATGATTCGGCGAAGCCTACACACACTGAACCTGTCTAGAGAATGAGAGTTGTATTGTTTAAACTGTAATAAGAATGTTGTACGTTGCTCCACCATAATTTTCAGTGAACTCTCACACTATGGTAGTCCATGAAAAATAAAACTCTTTTTATAATTCAGTGAAAATCTTAAACTCATCAATTGCAGTAATAATTATCGACAACAACATCAATAAAAAGTATTCACCAAATTACAAAGTAATAAAAACTGAACAGAAAAAGAAAAACCAGTTCAAAAAAAAAATAATCTCTCATTAACAACCAACCAATCAACTAATCACTAACCCTTTGAAAAATTGACTGGTCATCATCATCATCATTATCCATTGCAGTAGCCACTTACAAATTAATTACTAATCAAAAAATGGCAGTAAGAATTTGAAACTGGGACAACAGCCCCCAATAATGAGGATTTTGTATCATACGGATGAATATTAATCACCATACTTTTTATCACGATAATGCACTCCGAGTTATTTTGCCGCAGAGAAAAGAATAATCTTTTTTCTAATATTTGTTAGTACTATTGCAGCAGATAACATTGTGTTGTAAACTGTAAGTGCATGAATGAAACCTACAAAATCCAACCAAAATTAGGTCAGGATTTTTTACGCACATATATATTTATATTTATACATATATATATTATATATATTATATAGATAGATAGATATATACATAAGATTTATGTTTACATGTATGCATATATATTCTACAGATATAGTGCGAATTAATAATCAAGATGTGACAAATTACTTCTACACAGACAAACATTCATCACTAGAGAGACAATTACCAATGCTAAACAATTAATCGCATTTAATCTCTTTATGGTAGAGAATTATCAATAAATTATCCATTATTGATAAGTACATCCACAATAAGAGAAATGATGAGTAGTTAGGATATCAATGAGGAAAATCAACGTACTATGATGGTCAAACAGATCAACTTAAAAATACAAACAATTAAATTGCTTCAACTTATAATGCTAAACAATAAATAACATTGTCAAGAAGCATTATAATGTAATATATTTGTAAGGAAAGATAACAAAAAATGAATGTTAAAAAAGCAACAGAGTTGTTAAATATTTACCTTACATAATAAAAAAAAAATATATGTCCTCTTTTACACAATTCATGTAACTATAAAGTGTTGCGTTCTACCACACAGAAATTCTCATGATGAGTTCATGATTCTCGAAATCACTACAATTAAGATTTCTTTGCAAACAATATGAATCCTTTAACAATACTACCTATCTCCAAACTAAATTTCATACTCAAATATCTGATAGATTTTAGCAATCTAAAAATTATTTTTCATATATATATGGTTTCCGATTCGTCACCAAAGTACAAACTACTAAGCGGTTTTAGCTTATACAGTTGGTTTATACAACTTGCTACTTATTCGTAAGGTTTTCGCAATTCCATTCAATAATAAATTTTGTTTCATTGAATAATATAATACAAATGATAATGATAAAGGTTACATAACATTTACAAGATAAGCGTAATTACAGAAAGAGTATAGAAGTAAGTACATCAGTTCAAGTTGCCATACCACATTAGCACAGAGATATAATTGTCAGTTCAAATTTCATAGTAGTAGAAGTAGTAAAAGTATTAGCAGTAATCGGAGAGATTAGGATTGGAAGATGTTATCCAAGAAGTATAATTCAGTGAGGTGAATTTAGAAAGAGAAAGATAGAGGTGATGAAGAATTTAGAAGTTTAGGATTTGAGAGAACACAAAGAATGAATGCACCTGCGCCATTGCAATCGGTTTTGAGCCATGTCATTCAGGGTCTCTAACCATCGATTATTATCATCTCGCGGACCCCAACCAGGTAGTCGACAATTACCGACATGGCTCAGTCCACTCGTCAATGACTTCATGGATTTCTGCCATGTTTTGGTTTGGCCACCCCTAACTTTCTTCCAACCTATTCCTACACTACAAAACAAAGCTCGACGAGGTAGTCGGTGGTTGGGCATACGCAACACATGTCCCAACCACCTCAACTGATGAAGTTTCACCACTTCATCTATTGATCTGCCATTCTTACCTAGCACCCGTTTCCTAATAACAGCGTTGCTCACTCGGGTATCCCACGATATACGAGCAATGCTTCGAAGACACCTATGATCGAAAACCAGTAACCTACGAATATCTTCTACTCTCATTGGCCATATTTCACAGCCATAAAGTAAGACGGAGCGAACTACTGCGCAGTACACTCGTCCTTTAGTCAGCAAACGGATATCTCACCATTGAAGTAAGAAACCGACAATGGATTATAGCGTGGATAAGATAAACTAATAAAAATAAATACTTCTGTCTCCTCAAAAAATCAAGGTGAGAGAAGACAAGAATAGAAAAATCAAAAGAATATGAAAATTAATTTGAGGAAAGAGAAGACTAAATAGAATTAATATTACATTAAGGCTACTACAAAAATAAAAGTTAGGATATATTCTGTTAGTACACAGGGGTCGTTTTTTTCATGAGTGACCAAAACTTTTGTTACTTTAACTAGCTGAGAATTAAGAAGTTATGAAACATTATGAGAAGTCCTATACCCAATCTTCAAGTGAATATGTGGTTTAATCAAATGATCAAAGTTCATTATTGCATACGAGTCGAACTCCTGGCCGTTTTGCTATCATTTTTCTGAAACCGTACTAAAAATCGGCTTTTGTATGCATGAAAAAATGGACTTTGACTAGGAAGTATATACTTTTTTAAAATCCTGGTTATTAGACAGTCAATACAGCGGTTATTGCCAATTTTACCACATATCTATTATTTTATATAAAATACAGTAAATAACCTAACAGGTAATGAAAATCATGCTTTTCTTCTTTAGATCTATAAAAAATTCAAAGTAGCCCTACACAGTAGAAATGGACGTTATTCAACAGTGATCATGAAAGTGATGTAAAAGGAAATCGAACGAAACTCTAGCGATTAAAGGTTAATTTCCACAGAGAAAATGCAACATCCATCATTCCAAAACGTATATGACATTGTAGCTATGCATAGCATATGTTTTTCACACATTGCTTATTATTGATAACAGCAAGCCTACAGGACTAGACTATTACATTGCGTAATACGCCAATTATGGGTATGTTACCTCTGAGAAGTCTTTTTCATGCATCCTATGCTTCGAATTGTTAACTACCATGTCACAAGTGTTCAGTCCAAATAATTTATGTATCGAGTATGTTTAAACAACATATCAGTCAGTCAGCCAGTTACAATGTAGAACTTCGTACGTACGTGCATCAGTTCAGTTTGCCATACCACATTAGCACAGAGACGCAACTGTCAGTTAAAATCCCGTAACAGCACACGAGACCGAATTGGCAAATATCATGTTCTGCTAATGTTGCTTAGCCTACTGTATCAACCTGATTACATTTGTTAAACAGCTACTATTCCATAATCATCCCAAAAATATATTATTATTACGACCGTACTACATTATTCATAAAATGGGACGAAATTCAAACAACTAGTATTTTTAAAATGAAACACTGACATCCCGCCAATCACTGTTATCAAGGTACTACTACTACTACTACTACTACAACTTATGGTCAAAATAACAAATGCGTAACTTACCGAAATCGATAAAAATAATATGAAGAAAATGATTCCAACACTAAAATACAATATAGATGCTGTTGATTGATATTTAATGTTGAATAAACGTAATTTCCGAGTTGTTGATATTAAACAATTGGAAAAATAATTATGTACAATGATTTGAGAAAGAAACGATGATGAGTTAGACAAATCAACAATATGAAGCATATAGAAAAAAACCACTTGAGTATTATAACAAATTTGCTGTGTAGAACATCAAATATTCTTCCCACATTAAGTATTAAATAATTAATACTTTAATTAATACATATTTGATTTGCCAACAACAGATATTCGCTGTGCACGAGGTAATTTTCAAATGTATAGTTCACCACAAATGTTCATGTGTGCATCAAAAACACAGCTGATATTCAAGCAACTAGAAAAAACAAACAATTTGGAAATGAAAAAACAAACACTTGATACGACAATACAATACTGGTGACTTGCAACTGTAGTGAAATTTCATTCAAATTATCAATGGGCTTGTATCCAACAATGGTAAAAATATCTTGAGCTAATAAAATGACTTGGAAATTAGATTCTCAATCAATTAAAAGACGCTAAAATAAATCCTGTACTAAGAAAGATGTAATAACAGAAAGTTTTGAGTACAATTCATACGTTGCAAAAGTGGAACAGATGGTGACAATGACGTAAGAATATACAACTCAAGCTAGCAAACATGAGATAGAAATTATGTGAAGTTCGATAATAATTAGGTATTTTTTAAATAAAATCTGTCAGATAAAATGAAATTTTTCTTTCTACATTCTAATAATGTTTATAGCATGTAGCTAGACATAAATTCAACAACGCATTTGATAGGTAGAAATGTTTTAGTTAAAGTCAATCAGAGACAACATAAAAAAATACTATTTCATTAACCAATCATAAGTGAATGCTATAAAGCTATCGAAGAATATCAGACTACTGTTAGCATTATTCAATGATTCAGTCAGCTGCAACGTAGAACGTGATACGTACGTATAACCGTTCAAATCGCCATACCACATTAGGACAGAAATGGAATTGTCAGTTCAAATCTTAGAGCAGCAGAGGTTATGGCTGTAGCGGAAAAGATCAGGGATGGTAGATATAATTCGAGAAGTATTAAACCACGTTATCATTAATGTTAGCAATATTACAATCAAAAACAATTTCTACTAACTATAAATACATGATAGCATAAAACGCATTTAAAATCGGCATATGGGAAGATAATCTGGCGCGTCACTGTAAAAGAATGTTGGTGAATTAACGTAACTGAAAACATAAATGCATTTACATTTAAGGCACAAAAGGGACCGACATAGCTAATGGGAGCAGGTAGCGTATAAGTATAGTTAAAATCTGAAAAGTGCAGATAGTATTAAAGAAGGCCCTGTGAAACTATTAATCTAGTGGCTTAAAATCCGTCCCGTGCCAGTAACTACCAAAACTTCGACATTAATCTACAAACAGAAACCATCTTTTTCATCGGAAATTTTAAGAAATGGAAAATTGGATCTAGACTAATCACCTCTACTTTTAGAAAGAAACAGGTGAGGACCTTTGCTGGCCTATGAACTAACATGTTTGAGAAACACGAAAAAGAAGTCATTATGTCACAATGAGGAACAACAATTCGGAGAAATGAAATAATTTATTAACGGATAAAATGACAACTCTACTTTTTCATGGGTATAAACAAATAACTTTCGAACAGCAATAGTCCAGAATATCAGGTGTATTCACTCAGCTTTCAGATATTATCAGTAATTCTCAACAAATTTTAGTTTTTCACCTAATAAATACTAATTTCACACGATGGTACAACTTTCCTTTTACATGTAACATGGTAGGGGGAGACCGATTTTTGAGTAATGAATATAATGAAATAACGGTTTTTTCAACTAATTGATGACCGTGTACACTTAGAAATGATTATGAATTTTTAATTACAACCAATAATACGTACGCTAAATGTTCTCCCTAGTTTCTAAACAAACAGTTATGTTCTTGTTACTGTACACTTATGAATGAGGAACATATATTATCTGAATTCATTATTGCTGTTCATTGTCAAGCCAAGTTGAAGATTGTAGACAGAGAAGAACGTAACAAGACCGATCAGGACAATTTAAGTGGTTATTATTTGACTGCGTGTCTCTAAACAAGAAAGATACACAGGTCCAACTTCCCATACTTCACATTAGCACAATGAGAAGAAATTAACATGAGGTATAGAATAGAAAATAATATGGGAACAATTGAAATAAAACTGTAGCAAATAAAGTGGCCAACTGACACAACCTTGAAAAACTATATGCAATTACGGGATAACTCAAGCACTCGGCTTTCATTAATAATAATTCTACTTAAGCCAATAGTGTAGCTCGAGTAGATGATGATTACATATGCATAACGTGAGTGACATGATTTACCTCAGTATGTCAAGACTCATCATCTGATCAGCTCATCTAATAGTGACGTTGTTCAGTAAACTAGTGCAGACCTATATATTTCGATTTGAATCATACCTTATTTGAAGGTTATTTATGACACGGTTGATCAAACCAAGGTACATTAAGCGACCTTTAGGCCTGGTACCTAAACTACAGTTCATTTATTTGAAACTTTAAACTTGACTTTAAGACAGTTTACTCGACAACTTTACTACGATACCTGTGTCTAAATACTCGTGGTACATGCAAACATTTTAGCCTTGATGACTGTGTATAAAAGCCGCATAGTGAAACGAAATGAACTGCCAAGCCACATACCCACCTGTTAGTACACAGTTGAACATCCTATCCAAGGCGTAAGTGAAAGGTGAAGAAAACTAATTAAACCCTCTTTACAAATGTTGAGACAATTGAAGACTACTATTACGGTTAGTCCAGTTTTTTAAATAAATAATATGGTTTGCATTTTAAACCGATTCGCTCTACAAGTGTGAATGAAATTCAAAAGCTTCGTTAGTGTTACTGGCAAAATTATTGTTTGTACGGTACACCAATTAGAATAAAGGTACGTAATATTTTTAGCTCATTTTATCAGATAAATAAAGCAAGTTACATTACTTGTAGGTTAAATATTTACAGGCTTTTTTCCGAATATCATCACTAGTCTATATATCTAGGTGTAAGTATCAACTAAATTAACCTAGCAGGTTCACATAAAAGTACGTAATCTAAACTTTGTCGAAAAAAATAGAGCAATGTTCTTGAACTTTTGAATTAACAAAGATAGTTTTCCGTCAATCAGTCAGCAACAACGTAGAACTTTGTACGTACGTATATCAGTTTAAGTTGTCGCACAACATAAGCACACAAAGATCGAATTGTTAAATCAAATCCCCTAGTATTAGAGGTAATAAGAGTTTTAGCGGGAATGGAGATTAGGGTTCGAAGATATTATTCAAGAAGTAAAATCCAGCAAGATAAACTTCAAAAGACAAAGATAAAGGTGATGAGGAATTCAGAAGATTAAGATATGAGAGAACACAAACAATTGTTGCATCAATGCAACTGCAAGCGATTTAGAACTATATATCTCAAAGTCTCTAACCATCGATTACTATCGTCTCTCGGACCCCGACCAGGTATTCTACATCCAGCAACATAACTTAGCGCAGTTGTGAGTCACAAACTAGGCCGGAAATTGAAGCCAGCCATCAGGAGAATGAATATTACTTTGGAAGAACTGGAAAGGAGAGTCCAAGAAAGAGCTGGTTGGATATTTCTGGTCAACAGCCCATAATCCATGAGCAATTGTCGATAATAATGAAGTGGTAACTCGGTGGTTTTAGCACTTTAATGTAATTTAAGTCAGAAGTTTAAATACCAGTCTACCTACTTTAATCATAAAAGCCGGATAGAACTATGAGTCTGTGCATAAGCATTGTGGCAATACATAAATCTGTACTAAATAAACAACTTACACTTATTAGTAGTTCGTTATCACATGCCTCTTAACCATCTATACCATGCAGTGTGAGATTTTAAAGTTTTCTGGAACATATAATGAAGCCTCGTGCTTATTCAACGTAATTTTTGAGTCCTCTGTCAGGAAAATGATGAGCCCGTCCATTGTAAAAGCTTAAAATAACACAATCATCGGGGTAACCACCATATTGTAAAGCGTCCAAAAGGCATACAGGATTTATTTACCGAATATTATCAGCATGAATAAATACTAAGTGTATCTCATAAGTTATTACGCAAGTTCCTAAAACGTTTCATATTTGAGTGTGGTTCCAGAGTCGCATAGAGCTGGAGAACCTGAGATAGTACGAATCTAACAAGGAATCCACGACCACTCTAAAAGGTGCTATACTAACAGTCTAATAATATGTAGCAAAGCAAATGAACGTGAAGAAAGGCTGTTACGACAAAATACGTTGAGCGTGAACTTTATTGAGTTAAAATTGTGAATTTCAGTCAATTGAAATGGCCACTTATATGTAAAAAGACAATGTAGGCCTCCAAAAACCAACCATTTCGGAGACAATTAGTAACCAATATTGAAAAAGAAGTATTTGTAGTCATACCGTAAAACTTTGATATTACCGCTTTTTTATCCAACGCTTAATATCCGGATGATGATTTCGAACCTCAAACTTAACTGGCTTGAAGTGGAGGTCTCTTTACTCCATGTAATCTACATATGCATTGCAGATTCTAGTTACAGAGAGGGCATCACTCAAGTTATCTTTCACTTAAATCTAAGTGATGGAATTAGCTACCGAATATAAACGTGATTGAGGAGTAAAACAGACTGAAAACTTCAACTGCTCAAAGTATTCAGTATACGTGACGCTACCACTTATTTCGGCGAGGGGTTTTTCAACTTTCAGATCCTAACTAAAGAAGCTACCGGACTTATGGTGTCAATTTTTTTAATTCCTCATTATCGTATATGTCCTCTGAAAAGTGACTTATTACTGAACAGTTGTATGATACATCATGATTATATCACCCCGTAACCTCTTTGTACTTCACAGTCCACAAATTTAAGGATGCCAAGCAACTAAGGTTGGATTATCTATT